CAAGGCTTCCCAGTTTCCATCCACTAAACTTCTGAATTAAAATAATACCATATAGGATGAATGGCGTTTTCATCTTCTTTGAATTATTTCTTCACTTCACTTGGGCTTTAAATAATTAAAATTCTAGAAATTACTATAAAAATTTTTAAAAATATTTGAAATAAAATCTATAATTTCATCTTTCATGCTTTATTTTAAATTACTATGTCTAAGCATACACTCTTTTTAGTACAATTTTATATGTACTAGTACAAATGCATGAGAGTGTAAATGAAAAAAATGCAAATTCTGGTTTAAATTTATTTTGGGTAAGGGTGGCCACGAGCTGAGCTTCTCGCAAGCTATTCGAGCTCAACTTGTGAAAAGCTCGGTTCGACTTGGTTTAAACCGAGCTTTGAGCCAAGCTTGAGCTCAATATATAGGCTCGTTTGCTAATCAAGTCGAGCTCGAACCCAATGAAGCTCGACTCGTGAGGCTCACAGGCCTAATTGAGCCCAGTATAATAAATAAATAATTTTTGTTATATGCATACATACATACATACATACATACATACATACATACATACATACATACATACATACATATAAATGTATATATAATAATAAATAAATTTTATTATGTATAATAATATTTTTTTATGTATAATAGTAATAATTTTTTCTATGTATAATGATAAATAACTTTTATAATTCTTAATTTTTTGTATGTAAAATAAAAAATAATAATTTTGCATGTATAATCTTTTTTTTAGAAAAAATTTTAGCTTGTAGTCAAGCTCTTGATGATCCGAGCTCAAACTTGTGAGCTTTTGAATCGAGCTGAGCTGAGCTTGAACTCAAATCTCTAGCTTGAATTGAGCTCGCACTTGAGTTTAACATTATTTCTGTGAGCTGAGCTCGAATAGCCAAGTAATTGCTTGGCTCGACTCGAATCCGCTCATAGTTTTGAGTTTTATTTTATTCTGCTTCATGTCTTAATTTAGTTCATTTGTACTCCAATCAAACAAAATAAGATAAAATTTGAAAGAAAAATAGGTCAAAATTTACACTCAAATCATTTGCATTGCCATAGTTTTGCATCAGTACGAATTTAATTGCATTGCAACCATACACAACCTAATGGATACATTTGGATGACTCTAAGATTCCAACACTTTGCCCATGTTTTGCATTTCATAACTTCAAAAAAAAATATTTTTTTATTCATAAATACCCTTAAATTCAATAACCAAGCAAAGACATGACGACAAAGTTGGGAGTCCAGATCTCCTGCCCATGAGAACTCTACCCACGTTTATCAGAGCCATACATGGATAACGTCTCATCCTCTGCATGATATTATGTGGGAGGAAATGTTCCTAATTCACGGGGGGTAATGTATTGTGGGTAGGCGTGGGCAGAGTTCTCGTGGGTAGGTGATCCTGACTCCAAAGTTGGCACTCGGCAATACAACCACAACACAAAGAGTACTACTCAACAAAAAACACCTGTAAAAAAAATACAAGCATGCCAAATAGTTGACCCCCTACTAATACTAGCATAAACCAAACACGACACACAACTTCACAAGTGCACCACTAATTGATCCACATGCATACTAGGGGCCTCAAAGGATAATTCAACATATGTCGGTAAGCCGAGCTTAGGTGGTGTTTGGCACATCTTCCCTTTTATGGGAAGATCAAAATACCAAAAAAATGGTATTTCGGTATTTCCCCATTTGATATCACATACATGGAAAGACTCAGGACAAACATGGGGAGAAACCCAAAAATCTGAAAATAAGGAATCTTCAAATGAAGGTTTTGGTCTTTCCACATTGAAAATAACATTTTCCGGCTATTTTTAATAGTTTGATAGACTATGATGTGAACCAAACAGTCTTGGTCTTTAAATACAATACCCCAAAAGTTCTATGCATCTTATTGTCTACTGGCTTGTTGAAAGATCTACCTATAAAGACTTGTTAAACAGCTCCTTAGCCACCAAGTGGACAGTTGGAAGATCTTTTACCCCTTCTAGAAGAAATAAGAAAACTATCTTCAAATCTTCGCACAAATGTAAAATATCATTCATGTGGTTTGTTTCTTCTATATAAAACTTCACAGTCCTACCATTGGTGGCCTTGGCCACAAAATCTCCGAGGCAACGAGTTTAGACTTTAGACAGTAGAAGGAAGAAGCCCAAGCAAAGCAGAGATGAAAATTTGAAATACAATAAGGGATAGAAGAGTCACAAGGTATGTTTTAGTATGTGTTTGGGGTGGATGTTGTTTCCTCATAAGATAGTGCCATGTCAGCGTTACATTATAAATCCGTTTTCTAAGAAAATGTCTGTTGTTTGGTTAGTTTAAAAAAACGTTTTCTTTGACCATGCCTTGGAAATCGAAAAAGGTGTGGTATAAGAAAATGCCCTTTTTTGTGTTTTCCCGTTTTTTCTAGTATTGTTAGCAAGTATGCTGATGTGACACTGAAAAATGCCTATGTGGCGGCAATAACAATGGTACTAATAGAAAATCTGAGAAAACATCTAAGAAAACACAAACACCGCCTAAAAATCCCTATCTTTATTACTAAGGGCAAGTCCATCTAGATCCCTTGTGACCTTGTCCTCTCAATCTTTATTACTTCATGTTTTTAATTTCTACAGGATGTGTTTGTTTTAGGTGTAAGTTTAAATTTACACCGATGGAAAATGTAACCCTGGTTTAGTGATTAATGGAAAATGGAACCGAGATGTTTTGGAATTTTTCTCTCATGTTGTTGGGTTGTTCCCGTGTAAAAGTGAAAGGTTTCTCACTCCTCTTTTCTAAAACTCTCTCTGTCCATGATCTGGTAACACCTCTTGACACCGGTGGTTATCTCTCTAGAAACACCGACCAATATGTCTTTTATCTTGTTATACTTCATCGGATCCATCTTGAACTCATCTCTAATTATCGTGAACATGATTTGGAACTCGATATTGTCTGTTGATGACGGATCTAGCAACTTTCCGGTCTTGGCATACTCTTCTTTTGCCTTCACACTCTCGTGTATGAGCAATGTAGTGCCACCATCGTCATCAACGACGAGATTGGGAACACCTCCAAGACCTTAGTTGAGTGCCCTCTTGGTACAACACCAGTAAAGGGTCTCCCCCTTCCATGTGAATACGAAAGCGTTGTCACGAACGATGGCAACTATGGCGTGGTCTTGAGTGGCGAAGATGTTGCAAGAGCACCCATGGATCTTGGCACTGAGGGCGATGAGGGTTTTGATCAGAATCACAGTCTGGATCATCATGTGGAGCGAGCTGGTGATCTTGGCTCCCTTGAAAGGCTAGGAAGGGTTGGGAGAGGCTGAACTCCCTTGAGGCCTTGACCTTGTATTCATAATTGGAGGAGGTCTTCTTGATGAGCTGCGACATGGTTGCAGATAGATTTGAGATTGAGATTTATTGTCTCTTCTTTTCTCTCTCTAGCGCTTTCTCATCGGAGGATGTGTGGGCAAAATGAACTAGACATTCCGTCGGCTTCAATGACGGTCATCACGTTTCTACTGGCTATTGGACGGAGGAGACCGTTACAGGACAGAAAGGAGCAAAGCTTGTTCGTTTAGAGAGGAGACCATTGAATTGAATGGAATTTTCACTGATTTTGGATGTAAATAATAACAAGAATGGACTTTTACATCGATTTATGGGGCATATGAACCCCTCTACCAAACAAACGCTTGTAAAATTGGTCCGAGATGTAAAATTTACCCCGATTTTCGTATACACCTCAAACGCGGCATAAGAACAATAGTAATGCAAGTATTATCAATCACTTATGTAATACTAAATCCACCTCCAACAATTTGAACTCCAATATTAGCATCCGATACAGTCAAATCCCATAACATTATTGGTAGAATTTCCAACACATAAAAAATGAATAAGAGGACATTTGGATCATCTACTTATCATGTGCATATTTAAACACTTCTATAACCTCAAAATGTCTTTATATCATTTTATGAGACCATCATGTAGAAAACTTTTAAAATTCATAAAAAATAAAAAAATAAAAGAAATGTAGGAAATTGTGGAAAATGCACATGCAAAACACAACAAGAAAAAAAAAAAGGAAAATGGAGCAAAATACAAGAAAGCAGGAAAAAGTTGTAGAACGTACAACAAAGAAAAAGATGAAACATATAAAAAAAAGAAGATACAAAATACTAAAATTTGCAAAAAGCAAAATTAAAAATCAACAAAAGGAAATTAGTAAAATATAACATAAAAAGGATATATACATTTTAATAATTTTATCTTTTTTCTATCAAGTGGTGAAATTTGTCACAATTAAAGGGGCTACTGTCACTCAGACTCACAACTCACTACCCTATCTCTACACATCATTTCCAATTGTTTGTATTTACATCTTTTTTATAAAGTAAATTTTTTTTTTCTTAAAGAAAAACACATCTTCTATTAAAGTATTTTCTTTTTCAAATTACTAATAGACTCCCGTACATTGGTAATTAGATAATGTGCATGCTAGAGGTGTATAACGGGCTGTGCCGCCCTCCCTTGGAATAACTTGGGGGGTCGGCCCGGCACGGCCCACAGTCCAAGCCTGTATAGGCCCGTGCTATGCTGTGGGTTGAATTGATCCGTAAATCGAGTCAAAGCTATTTATTTAAAAAAATTAAAAAAAATCTAAAATTTTAATTTTATATGAGTTTTTATATATACAATTACTTATATATATTAATTAAATAAATTAGTATTTAAAATATATATAAGTAATATATATGAATTGTGCCAGCACACGGGCCGCGGAAAACCCGACGTGCTTTATTATTCTGTACCGGCTCGGCCCACGGACTTAAAACCCCAGGCCCTCAGGCCCAGCACGATCCACACGATCGTACGGGCCTGATACGGCCTACGGACCGTCGTGCCGGGCCGACGCGGCCCGAATTACACGTGCATGTGGAAACTTGACCTACTCCTAGTTCAAAACTCGTAGAACTTTCAAGAGCAGCTGCAGAAGATGGACGAAGTAGTAGAAGCCGAGCCCTCTCCCTTCTCTCAAACCAGCTCTAGCAGGACCCCTGAAGATTCCGTCTTCTACGCCATCTTTCCCGATTTCTCCATCCACTCCTCCAAAACCCTAAAACCCACCGCCACCTCCAACGCCTACGACTGCCTGAATCAACTCTCTTCTTCCTTCCCCTCTCTCCATGTCCAAGTCCTCGATGCAGTGTCCCCTTACCTCTCTGATTATATTTGGCAGCACGAGGCCTTTAATCTCTCTCTCTCCTCCATCCCCAAACCCAACTGTCTCTGCTCTTCCCAAATTCCTCATCTCCATGGGAAGGTCCGCTACGGCGATAACCTGGAAGATGAATGGTTCGTTGTCTTCCTCCTCTTCGAGATTACTCGCAGATTCCCCTCTGTTTCGGTTCGAGTGTGGGATACGGATGGAGAGTTTCTATTGATTGAAGCTGCTTACTCTTTACCTCGCTGGATAAAGCCTGAAAACAGTTCCAATCGGGTGTTCATTAGGCAGGGTGAGCTTCATATTGTACCAAAAGAACGGTTTCCTTCGAATCCGAGCTTGTACGATTCATTGAGGTTTCTGGCGACTGCTGGTGTGGAATCTCGGGCATCGGATTCTGTTCAATCCGTTTTGAGAAAACGGATTTCAGGTTATCCGGAAAGAGCCCGGGCAAATATGCATCAAGTCAGGGTTAGGGTTCCGGTCTCTGTGGCTCAGGTTCTGAAACATGAGCCTTGCTTGATTTCGTTGGCAGTTGAAGGTTTCTACGATCGCGACATTGATACAATGAAGTATGCTGCTCGGATGGAGAAATTTCTAAGTGGGGGAAGTGGAGAAGAACTTGTTCAGATATCCGTTCGAATGTCAAGAGCAATGTATGGGCAGCTGGTGCAGCAGACATTTCAGGCGCCCAAGTGGTACCCTATGCCGCCCAGGACCGATGCGTCTGCGTATATGGAAGCGGAACTGGGGATGAAGATAGCGTGTGGGTTCGAGATGATGTATCAGCAGAGACGTCGCAATGGATTGGAAGGGAAGGGGAGCACCTGGGATGTGTTCCTAAAGAGCCTAGAAAGTAGTGGGTACTTTGCAGGACTTCTTCCTGGATCAAAGGAGTATCGTAGACTAATGGAAAGTGCCCAAGAGTACTACCGAAATAGTTCAGCATTTTCTAGGACCAGGTATTTGCTTTGCGATTTATGTTTCTCTCTATACTTTAAAAGCCAAGGTCTAGGATCAGCGGCTATAGATCCTCTGTAGAGATCACTACGTTACAATATATCTTTTTTTTTGCTGTATATATTACAGGTCTCATACAGTAATCGAACAAATGAATTCAAATGGGCACGTGAGGTGTAAATTCAGTATATTGGAATCTTTAGTCTTAATTGCATAGCCTGTATGATTTAGCTGTGCAGATTCACTCTATTCTATCAATTCCCATGATAAAATAAATCGAAGTTGGTTCTTTTTCTACTACTTTTGGTTCAGATGATGGTCTATTCAACAAGGACCCTGATTTTGAGAGTATATATGTATGTTCTAAATTCTAATCGTCATCTTAGACTTGAAGAATAATGGATTTTCAGGACAGGGAGCCATTATTTTATACGGAACCTAATTCAGTCTTTAGCTAAGGATGTAGTAGCTACCTTTAACTGGGGTAGGAGATTAGTAAACGGGCTAGCTGATTATATGGCTAAACAGGGAATGCATAGAGAAAATTAGAGATCAATTGTTTTGGGCTCGGTTGTAATTACTGTTATTGAATTTATGGTGTCTGGATACCTATCCAGTAAACTTGTAATCTTTTTTCCTTGATCAATGGAATCAGTTGCTTATCAAAAAAAAGAAAAAGAAAGAAAGAAGAATGACAGAAGGTTGATTAATAGTTTCTGGTCTTGTCTTGTTGCATACTGAGTCGCGTGCTTGGTGATGAATGATGTGGTACATGCAAAAGTCTCTAAGAGGGTAATGGAATGAATGAACAGGACATTGGTTGGCATAATGAGAACAAACTTTCCGGATGTGTCTGTTGATGGAAGTTATTGCTATACAGGGTAGAATAGACAGGACTTGTGTAGATGATCCCACATAGTTGGGGTAAAACTTAGTTGAATATTTGAACACATCTGCTGGTTCATTTCTTGCTGCACAATAAAATTAAATGGATCCATTGAAGATTTTTTTTTTTTTTTTGTCAGAAATCAAATAAGTGGTATGGTTAGACCTACCTAGTCTGCAGTATCCTTTTTGGGGCACCAGTCCTGTTTTTAACTTCAGAAGAAAGTATGATAGAATATAAGTTGGACAGTTAGATTTTTTGATTGGTCATGTAGGTATGAATGCAACTTGAGTCAGGCTTGGAGTTGAGCATTTGGTAAATTTTGAATGGGTCCAAGTGTAAAGTCATTGACATTCTTTAAATCTGGTAACTCAACTTGCATCCCTACATGTAGGTTCATGCCTTGCATGAACTTGTGTGCTCATGTACTCAAATAGGGGGTGGGGGTAGGGATGCAAGGATGGTTTCATCAATTCTTAATGTCCAAGGTATTCCCCTGCCAAATGGGTTAAGCGTTAATTCAGACTTGTTATTTGGGGTTTCTAGTGGTAGTCAATTTGACTTGGATGTGCTTTTGGTTTTTCAGTGAAGATCAATTTTTCTTCTAGCTTGTCTAGGTGGTTTGATACTTTGATTTCCTATTTTGTTGTTTATGACAATCAGCTAAATTGTTATTCAGTTCTAATTTTTTATTTTTTATACAACTCAACAAATATTATCATTATTATTGTTGCAGTGAAATGATGAATGCTCCAGTGAAACGCATTGGTGAAATTCTTGCTTTACCCCATTCTGCTGATGACTTCAAGGGTGTAAGCCTTCCTCCTTCGGATGATGATTCTTGGCTCTACAGTGGAGAGGATGACCTAAACTCAGCTATTCTAGAGAGGCAGAAAGAAATGGAATTTTATGAATTAAACCGTAAGAAGAAGAATAAATCAAGTGATCAGCAGGAAGCTGGTTATTCTTCCAGCATGCAATTGGATGATTTTGATCTTGGTGATATAACAAGAAACATGAAAGCATTTGTTAACAAGGTCTCTAGTTATGAGGGAGCAGAGGTTCCTGAAAACAGGTATCATTCAACTTATTGTTGTTTCAGCCTTTTACAAATTATCTACAACCTGGCTTACAACACCGATAAGTGGTGTCTAACTTAGCATATGCAGAATCATCAATATAGGCTCTTTCATATATTATGCAATATGCTTATATGCCTCTAATATAATTTAGTTCACTTTGTGAGGATGTTATTACAAAGAATATACTTAAGTTCCTATTATTTGAAAATTGGTTAATATTGGTAATAAACTCTTGTCTAAATATGCAATACCTATTTAGATAATTATGTTGAAATACATATTTAGATAATTGCATGATTTAACTTTTATGGGTGGTTTAGATTTAGCCTATGGTTACTCTGCTTGAGATATGTTTTCCTAGCCTGCCCCTAGCTCATGGTTTTGATGAGATATATTACCGAGGTGATCCATTTCAGTTAGCAAAGAGTGAATTCTTCCCATAATTTTCTTCAGAAGTTCATCAACTCAGTAACTTTGGTTCTAGAATACTCTCTGATTTGTTTCCTTCCAAATGCACCAGGAAATAGCTGTGGTAATAGTACTCCAAATTCTCCATAACTTCCTTTTCCACTTAGTCCCCTCACCTTCCAGGAATACAAGTGACCTGTCATATTTTCTGGAAAGCACCATGAGAGATTGAGCAGGTTGCAGAAGTGAGTATGTATCTATCTCGCCACTGCACACTGCACAAATAAATGATAAGTAGATTCTCTGTCTCTCCTGCTGATTACACAAGTTTCTGATTGTATGCTTACACCTCTTCTGAGAAAATTTTCTCCAGCGAGACATCTGTCTAGCACCTACTGACCACATCAGAAATGCAACTCTGGGAGGGATGTTGATCAGCCGGACTTCCTTGTATGGGAAAGCTGTATTATGGTTACTGGTTAGCTGCTTGTAAAATGATTTGACAGAGAAATTCCTTGACTTCTCCCACCTCCAATTTTGTGTGTCCTCTTGATATGGATTTGTGCAGGCCCTTTTTTTTATAAGTATTTGGGCAGACCCTATTGAGTGGCCTGAACTGTGATGGTAGCTCCTCAATTTCCCAAGCATTCAAGTTCCTTCTTATGCCCCATTCATTTACCGGTAAATAAGAGGGGGAAAGCTGGTCAATGGGTATCTCTTTCCCATTAACCAACTTTACAGGGTTCTTTTTGCAATAAGTACTGGGCCCCATTCATTTACCCAGGTAAAACTTACCCATCTTCCAGGTGGGTAAGTAGCTTGCCCACCTGGGGGAAAAGTTTATAAAACATAATGTGACAAGTTTGTCCTTTTTAACATTAGCTTTTTATGGGTAGAATGGTCATTATATTACTTGGAAATCAAAAGAACATGGATAAGGGAACTTACCCAGGAAGCGTTTACCTGGGTAAGTGCACTTAACTGGGATAAGTGGGAAATTTGTAAACGAACGGGGCCATAATGTTGGGCATCAAGACACTACCCCATCTTAATAATCATATGAATCAAGCACTCCAGCATCTCTGTTTTCTGCAATAATGTATAAGGAGGGAAACCTCTCTATCAAGGCTCTGCCTTCACACAGCACATCTCTAATTGATTTTTTCCTCCTTACCCACTTTCAATTGAATACCTTGGAGAATTTATTGTGGAATTTTCCAATTCCTCTCCAAATTAAGTAGCCATAAGGACCCTCAACAATACTTGGATCCCAGTTGAAATTTCTAACCCCAAACTTCTCTGAAATGATCTGTCTCCAAAGATGTGGGGAATTTCTGCAATTTCTGTCGGGTTAGGGAATAAATGAATAATGATAGAAAGTAAGTGGGCAACTGAAATAGGATGCTCTTCAATAATGTTTTCTTAGCCCCACTGAGAGATATTTGCATTTCCTTGTTGTTAGCTTTCTACCCATCCTTTTTTGGTAGGCAAATGGGCTACAAAATGGGGGATGGCCTCTCCCCCGAACCCCAAGACTCCCCAACCCTGGGTGAAATCTGGGTTCAATCTCAAGTCCCCGCTATGAACCTGCCAGTGACCTTTACCAGAAAGCTAGCTGGCACCTTTTCTTTCTACCCATCATTTCAATCATTGGGTTCCATATACTCTCTGCCGTGCACTTGGGTTCATATAACCAACCCTATATGGTTGAGGCAAGGCTTTTGTTGAGATGTGTTTTTGAATTTGTATTATCACTGAAGATCTGCATGTCTTGTAACTTCAAAGCTTGGAGCCTTCCAGTGTCTTTCTGTTTAGCTTTTGTGGATTAACAGTTGAGCACAAAATTTGATGTACTTTTCTTTTTATCCTTTTAAAGCAACTTAAAAGCAGTAGATCTGAATGTGGAACGCTTCATTAAAGATATGGAATTAGCAATACGATGTGCCAGTTCTGAACAAATGAACATCGAAGAAGGATCATCATCTGATATGGACTTTGGTAATTCCTACATCCTTGTCATAGAAACTTTTTTGATTAAAGCCTTTTGATCGTATAGTTATAAAGTTATCACTTCTTAGCATTTGATAACATATTATGTCTTATATCTATATCTAAATTATTTAGAGGAAAGAGGGAAACCAAGGGTCCTGAGGTCCTCTACCCCCCACCCCCCCCAAAAAAAAAAAAAAAAGTCAATGTTTGTAACTTCTTCCCTCCCCCATTAAATATCTCCTTTCCTCTTAAATCTCTATAAATCCCTTTTGACTATCTCTAATAAAGCAGGGAGTATAAATTAGATGGGTTGGACTGGTTTAAGGGCCAACCCAAGACCAAACATGAACTTTGACCTCGACCTGGACCCAGAAGAGAAGTCAAAACCCAAATTTCTGTTCAACTCTATGCATTGCATGGGTTTACTTTCTAATAATATTAAATGTCAATACTGTGCTTTGTTGTTTGGTATTGAGTATTCTCTAGCATAGGTTGTAAATATGTGTATGGTGCATCTTATCTGTAACATTTTACATAAATGCATGCAGAAAACCACAAGAATGTTCTTTAATTATTAAATATATCTAAGAATACATCCTGTAATTTTAGCTCCTTATTATTAGAAAGCTTTATTATTTGTTTTTCCTGAATAATTAGATTTTTTTTTCCATATTTGTTAGAAGTATGCTTTTTGGTATTCTTTCCCCCAGAAAAGGAAAAAAAGTGATTACTTGTAGTGTTATACTCAGATTTACAACAAAAAACTTATTCACCATGTATAACAATGACTAATATTTACTATATGAGTGGCCTTGACTTTCTTGAGAATTAAAATCTTAAATGTATTAGCATCCATCTGACGTCCATATAATTACATGGGCATACTTATGTTGTATTCAGAATCTGAGTTGTACTTCTTTTCCTTCATATTTCATGAGCTAGTTATTATTAAATGGTTTCGTGCAGATGACTCTGAAGATGAGAGTGATATTGAGAATCCTCCTGAGGATAATGGGGGTAGAGAAGATGCATTTATGTCTTCCTACTCTGCTGCTCTAAATGACGAACTGAAGTCCACCACTCTCAAGAAAAGTTTCATTCGCACAAATGAACAATCTTCCAAGAATATTGAGGTTTCTGTTATTTTTTTTTCTGCTTTTTGGATTTGAATGTGGCAATTTTTTTCGCTGCCTTATATTTCATAAAGAAATCTGCTTCTTCATTCTCCCCTTTCTAGAGGATACCTATGTGTTAAATAGATCTAATCCATGACTTCAATGAAGAATATGCTTGATATTGCCCAAAGCCTCCATGGACTCTCCGCTTTTATAGGTGTTCAAGGGCAAAATTGAAGTGCCATATTACTTGCAGGGGCAGGGGTATTGATGTAGGACCACTTGCTTTGATACCAATTGATGTAGGACGTGAATGACCAAGAGATGTGTTTAGGAGTGTTGGAGATGATTTTAGGACTAAAGACAGGGATTGGTTAGGTTAAGAAAGGTTGCAAGGCTTAATTGCAATAATTGTAGATTTTTTCAAAATTGTAAAAAGATTTGAATTTGGAGAAAATAGGTCAAAGGTTAGTGTTTTTCATTGAAATTTTGTATGTGGATTTGTCCTAGATGGCTGTAAGTAGGGCTGTAAACTTCCCAATCAAAGTATCAAACACACATTGACTGTTTCAGCCCCCTTTTTGTTAATGTTGTTCATTCATCCATCCTAAAAAAGATATTTTTAATATATGATTAAAATTATAAAATCATTTTTTTGTAGGGATTAAGAATTTAAGACCCTAACATGGACTCATTTGGGCTTGCCTGAAGGAGTTTGGTACAGAGATGGATTGTAGAATTAGGAATGAAAGATATTTAACATCATATTTGCTATTTGAAATAATGCAATTGGGTAAGAAATAAAGAAATTTAAAGTTTAACATGATTGAATATGTTTTATATGCTATTTTTATTTTTACTTTTTGCATTTTTGCTTTGAATATGCTTTATATGTTATGTTTATGAGCTTTGTTTTAGCTAATAGGCTTTTTAAAACTTTACTTTAAAATTAAAGTTTGATATATATTTTTATCAATGCTTGATATTTTTAATAGATACTTCTTTTAATGTTTTCTTAATTTATTTTGAAATTTGTACTTTTTTTTCATTTTTCGATTTTTTAAATCTTGTGCCTTACTTTAGAAAGGTGTGTACCTCACCTTGCACCTTGCACCTTGCATCTTGGGTGCAAAATTCCCTTTGTGCTTGTTTTGCATCTTACGCTTTTAAAACATTGGTTAGCTTTCTTTAAAAGGATTTTGCTAACTGAAATTCACCAAAAAAAAAAAAACGGATTTTGCTAACTGAATCTTTAAGTGGCCCCCCAATATCGCAAAATGGTCAGAGCCTGTTGGGATTCTTTCATCATCAGCTCTCCACAATACAATTTTCAGCATTCTTTATTGTTCTTTGAATTGCAATTTTGAACTAAGGGTTAGTATTACTTGAGGAAGGCTGACATGGGCCAGGGTGAGAGGATGCAAACACATCTCCAATCTGCAATGTCACCATATCTTATCATTACTTGGTTTGGGCACATCATCACTTTTTGATAGATCATCCAGTTAATTGAGCTGCTTTGAAGAGCTTCTTTTAATCAATCAAAAAAATGTTGTTGCAATTTCAGCACATATAGAGAATGAAAGTCTTTGACCATGGTGAAGTGCTGAAGTCTCAGTTTGGTAGGATCACTAGTCATTTTGTCCAAATGCACTTAAATGTTGTTGCCACTACAGCTTCCATAAGATCCACTTATACCAGGTGATGATCATTCCTTGAGAGAGCAGCCATTGAAGTTGATCTTCACTGCTAATTGTTGACAAGGAGGCTCTTTAGATTTTTTTTTTCCGTTTTTATTTCACGTTTTATTTTACTTGTTTTGAAACGTCATAAATCTAAATTGAATAGGTTATTTCTGAAGTGATTTATGGCTCTTCAAGCCACATAGATGAAAACTAAACTCACTATATTTCTTTATATTGGCATTAAATAACCTGAATACTTTATAATAGTAAGGGTTTTAAAAAAAGCCCATTGATATGATCTAAAAAAGAAATGACGAATACAAAACTATGCCCTAATCAAATTCATTTGAATCTGATAAATCATATGATTCATGAACCAAATAGTAAGAGTTTTCCTTTAAGGTACCCTATTGTATAATTGAACCCTTGGGAATCACATACTTGAATTCTGAGCTGTGAAAAGCATTGCTCTGAAGTCCCCACCAATACCTAATTCCTTGGATTTCCCAAGGAACAGCTATCGAAATTAAGTTAATTGCCTTGGGATGGAAGGGATCATGTTGACCCCAAATGCTGTTCTGTCTGGCCCAAATTCTGTACAAAATTCCCCGGTTATCAAACACACTGACATGGCTGGTTTTCTGCATTACTAGTTGCTCCTTCAGTGCCTGTTCGCCGGAGTTCAATACTTACATTGCATGCAAGGACGATTGTCGATTACTATGGACATCTTTATGTATATTATAACTGACATTAAACAGTGTGGAATGGTAAAACAGGATTCATGTAGCCGATCCCATATAGTTGTGATAAGGCTTAGATGATGATGATGATGTATGATGAAATCTCATGCCCGTTTGATGTACATTGAGTGTCTATTAGATTGCTTTATTGTTACACAATGGTGATATATTTCATGTCCTCAACTGCAGGGAACGTCAAATTCAATGGAGGACATGGATGAAGAATTTAGTCCTATTGATGTGGATGTGAATCTTGTGAAAAGTGTTTTGGATTCCTTCTCCTCTCAACAAGGTCTACCTGGTCCTGCTTCCAGTTTGCTTGGACTTATGGGTCTTCAGCTCCCTCAGGAAACACGAAAAGACAAATAGAATCATTTAATCATCCTATGCTTGTGAGTTGTACCATTTTACCATTCAAGGTTTTCATGCTTCATGTGAGGTGATCTTTCAGCTCCAGTTTCCTTGTCTGTATTTGTAGTAGTAAATGTGACTATTACATGTCTCTTTGCACAAGAATGTATAATGTTACTTTATACTGTAAATATATTATTAAATGTCCTGAGCCTGCTAGGTAAATAGACGGTGGTGAGAGCTATCAGTTAATAGTGGCTTCCAAGCCACTCTAACTCAACAAATGAATCAGATCATCAAATGAGCCATCACCGAAACCGTGCCTTCTTAAATTTGACCATTGTTATCCTGATTTTGTTTGTCAAAACAAAATCAACTTCCACATCAGCAAGGCAAAACAAAATTACTTTTCTGATGTGGCGGTTTTTTTGGTTTAGAAAACAAGGGGTTTTAAAGTAAAAATCACGTTTAAAAAACTAATATAAAGGTCATGCAAATTACAGTCATTTGATTTGTTAATTATCTTTTTAGTTTCTAATTCAAAACACTTCATTCACAATGTGACCTTTTCTGTTGCCTTGGTGCAAACAAAGGAGAAATTGAGGAGGATGTCACCCATAGAATTAGAGCAGGATGGTCAAAATGGAGGGGTGCATATGCAGTCTTACGTGATAGGCAAACTATCACTTGACTAAAAGGAAAATTCTAGAAAATAGTTGTAAGGCCAGCTATGTTGTAGGGAGCAGTGCGTTAAGAAACAGCATATTGGCTTCCCTGCATGGGTTGGAATCCTGCTGCCAAGTTAATTAAACTTATTGGATACCGATCAAAAAGAAACAGCATGTCATAAAAATGAGTGTGGAAGAAATGCAAATACTTAAAGATGAGTGACAAGACTGGTAAGGGAAGGATTAGAGTTGAAGTCATATGAAGGAACCTAGAAGTAGCTCCAATAGGTGTTAAAATGAGAGAAAGTAGATTGAGATGACTTGGTCATGTTCATAGAACACCATCTACAGCACCTGTTAGAAAAAATGATCTGTTACAAGTTGAAGGGGTTAGAAGAGCTAGGGGCAGGCTGAAAAGGAATTGGGTGGAAGTAATGAGAAAAGATTTAAACACCCATAATTTAACGATGGGTATAGCACTGAACCGAATGGAATGGAAAAACAGGACATGTACCCCATATAGTTGGGACAAGGCTTAGATGCTGGCGATAATTACTATTGAGTTATTTGATTGTGCTGTAGGTGTGCTAAAATGGTGGGTCCTAATCCCTTTTGGCATGGCGGCATAATAGTTTATACCAAATTCTCCTAAAAAGATATTTTTCCTAAGTTATTGTTTAGAATGTTCTACAAAGTCACATTTATGGGGAAAGGACCTAAGATAAATGGGTTTGGAATAGTGGATGAAGAATGATGGGGGAAGGCTTGGGAGGAAGGTGAAGGGGGAGAGGAAGGAAGAGTGGATGAAGAATGATGGGGGGAGTTGCAAAGCAGTGGTTGGTGAGGGGGAAAGCTTTTGAGGAGTTGTGGAAGTCTCGGGTTTGAAGGGGGGGAGGTATTTTTGTTGCCCTCAAGGTTGCGCTTAATGCCAGCCTTTTTCCGGTTCTGGAAGTTTATAGCCTGGTTTTTGTAGTGCAATTTGTACAGAGACTCAAGTTGTGGGCCGAGGGTTTTGTTCTGATTAAGTTTTTTGTTGTTATTGGTTTTGTATGGGTTGGGCTGGTGTGCGGATCTGGTTTTGTTTTTGAAGTATAAGTGGCCTTTTTGTGTTTTTGTATGGTGATTCCTTATCACCATTAGACCTGTTCATGGGCCGGGCCGGGCCGGGCTTTCATTCTGTATTAACAGATTTTTCTAAGGCCTGAGCCCAAGCCCGGCCCGACCATCGGGCCTACAACTTGGGCCCGAGCCCGGCTCTCGTAAAAGGCCCGAAGCTCGGGCCTGGGCCCGAGCCCGAAATTTATCCCATGCTGTTACTACTGCTGAATAGAGAGTGAGTGAGAGAAATTATAAAGAAAAAAATAAAAAAATGTATATATTAAATTATAAATATATATATTTCAATAAATATTATATTATTTATATATTTTATATAATATATAAAATACATATTATGTATTTTATAAAATATATAATGCTGAGTCGGGCCGGGCTTTTTTGACAAATCCTGAGCCCGGCCCGTAACACAGTCGGGCTTACTATGTTAGGCCCGAGGTCAGCCTACGGGCCTAATTACATGACCAAGCCCGACCGGGGTGCGGGTCGGGCCAGGCCATCGGGCTACCCGACCCATGAACAGGTCTAATCACCATATTGGATTGATGTATTTCTTTTTCTTTTAATAACAATTTTATTTTATCTTTAAAAAAAAGGGTTTGGACTATTTCTTGGTCAGGTGTTTTTCTCTGTCAAGAAATTCTGTATTAGAGAATTGATGGTGCGCGATCTAGCTACTCCTAGCTGGAGGGCGATCCAAACTCCAATTGGGCGGCGAGTTGGATCAATTTGCAAAACAGTGGATCAGAGAACCCGGGGTAGCTAACCCGGTGAGGTCGCTTCGATGCTTAAGTCAGTACTTATGCTGTGAATGCGAGCTGAATGCTTGAGAGATTGAGTGCTAGTGAGTAGAATAATCGCACGTACCCTGTGTCATTGGGGTTGGTGCCTTTATATAGGCATTGTTTGGTGTAGGCTTCATGCACCGCATTCGAGATTAACCGCTATGCATGTTGACCATCCTCCGGAACATTCGGTATGCGGGCCAACTTCAGAGAAATCTGGGAGCGTCGGGGTATGCATGTCGAATTTGTTGGCGATCACATCTCGCAAGTCACCGCCTGGTCCTCAGTTAGGTTGGCAAGCCCTCGAGAGAGGTCGCGCCTTGCGTCGAGGTCACTTCGGCCGGTGACGAGGTGCTACAGGTCGTCCCTAAACGAGGTGTTGCAAGCCGACCTAAGTTGTGATTGAGGTTGTCAGGTCAACGATAAAGGCAGGTTGCCAAGTCGGGGCGAAGACGAACTACGATCTGGGACTCCAAATCATCACTTAGGTGGCATCTGGGTGTTGCCCAACTGTTTTGGGATGCCATGTTGTCACAGGTGACTCCTTCGTCGCGCCATCAAGCACCTACAGTGAGCCATCCGAGTGCCAACCGCGTGCCTTCATGGTGTCAACATGTGTGTCATGGGTGGGCTTTGCTTGTATTTTGTAAGGGGGACCGCCAATGGCGTTATTGTAATTACTTAG